TGTTAAATCGGGTGCAGCAGTTAACGGACCGTTTTGGTTGGTTGGTTGGTTGGTTGGTTTGTTTTTTGTTCTTTTAAACTTACTAAGCCTTTGTTTATAGCTTTGCAATGCCCCTCCCCACCCCCCGGATTTTCTTGGTAACAACATGTAAGCAAGAGTACACGTACAAAAAAATTGCTGTGCTTTGTCTTGCAGCAGCAGCAGCAGCAACAGCAACAACAGCAGCAGCAACAGCAGCAGCAACCAGGTCCCAGACTACCCCCAAGGCAACCGACAGTAGCATCACCAGCTGAATCTGAGGATGAAAATCGTCAGAAACCCCGACCGCGAACAAAGATTTCTGTTGAAGCCCTGGGGATCCTACAGAGTTTCATACAAGACGTAGGCCTGTATCCAGATGAAGAAGCAATCCAGACTCTCTCCGCTCAGCTTGACCTGCCCAAGTACACCATTATCAAGTTCTTTCAGAACCAGCGATATTATCTCAAGCACCATGGGAAGCTGAAGGACAATTCTGGCTTGGAGGTGGATGTTGCAGAGTACAAGGAAGAAGAGTTGCTCAAGGATTTAGAAGACAGCATCCAAGACAAAAATGCAAACACGCTTTTTTCAGTTAAACTAGAAGAAGAGTTATCGGTAGAAGGGAACACAGAGATTAATGCTGAATTGAAAGACTGATCTAAAAGTATTATTTTCTTTCAACAGTGCCACTGGTATTTACTAATGAAATGAAAATTCCATCTTGCGTTCTGTCAAAAACCTTTATTATTCATTGTTTGGCCAATGAATCTTCCAAAACTTGCACAAAAGTTGAAAAAAGGATAATGCAGACTGCACTAGATGTTTTACTCTGTTTTACAAACTGCTTCGCAGCAACAGATGAAGCGTTGAGGATTGTTTGATATTAATTTGTGTTCACTGGATACACTGTGAGTGTACCCAATAAGCATGATACCAGTGATTTTGATTCTGGAGCCTTCAGACAAGCATTACAACTTTTGTGATTTACTGTTTTTTGTTTCTGTTCTGTTCTTGTTTTTTAATTATTACTGTAGCACTCCACACTTGATCTTTGGAAACTCACATTTATTTAAAAAAATGAAATAAAAAGAGTTTGTTACTCTTGTTCTATTGTATGTTACAAAAGAACTATAGACTGTGGAATGCAGTTTAAAGATAACATATGCCAACAAATGCCTTGTATTATATGGCACTGCCGTAATTCAGATTTGTTTTCTTTTGGAAATAAAGGTCACTGTATTTTTTTTTTCCATTCTCATTGTTACATGGTTTTAAAGAAAATGAAAAAGAAAATGTGAAACACAAGTTAGTCCTCATTATTTATTTGTAGATCCTGCAGCATCATGTTGTAATTAATTTTTTTGGAAGTTTCCGTTAAATGTAATATTGCTTCTCTTGTTATCATACTGATTTTTTTTTTCTATTTATAAATGTATTTTGATGGGCAGTAAAACAAAGTGTCTTAAAAGTTTTAAATAGAGAAAATGTGCTTTACACAGTTGCCTATAAAAAGTGCTCTATGTTATCCAAGCAATTCATACTATAAGCTTCACTCTTATTGTTGTATGCAATTTTTACTATCATGCAAATAAGCTTAGGTAAATAAAACTAATAGATCACCTTAGAAACTTATGCAATTAATGTGAAAATAATTGATGTTTGCAATGTGTCTTCCTTTGGTTTACAATCAATTTTAAAGCTACAGCTGTATAAATTTTCTGTATAAAGGTGTATTTCTTTTTTATGAGTTTATTGCTATGAAAACACCAGTTATTTTGTTACAGCTGGCTGTTTTTATAAGTGTATCACAATTTTCTTTATGCAGAAATGTTCTGACTAGGAGTGGTTATTGACTGTAACTACACAATTAAAATTGTTTGTATGGTATGATATGGCAGGGTTTGTCTGCGTATGTGTGTATCTGGGAGGAATAACTTGTTCTTAGTGCACATTGTACCTTCTTGCCACCACTTTGAAGATGACATTTCAATTGTTCTCCTTTAAAATCACAGGCAGATTTTTTTTTTTTAATGACCTCCTTAAAATTTGAATTTAGATAACGTACTTCAAAAGGAAACCCAGTTTGGTTATGAAAATCATAACCTGTCTTTTCTTGGTTTAAAAACTTGCCTGCCCAACAGAGATAGCAGGATATTATTGAGTCAAAAGGCTATCAGGCATAAACATATTTACAGTTCCTGGCAGTAATGCACTTATAATGGATACAGCTGGTTTTATTTTACACTAGAATTATGCTAACACTATTCCTTGCACTAATGTATAAACATTAAAAAAATAAATTAATAGTCACAAAGTAAATAGGAAAGATGGGCTTTGCACATCATGGTCCCCTTCTAAGTAAGATTATTTTTAATAATTTTTAATAAGGTTCTTGATAAAGCCATAACAATTGGTGAGCTCTGAATTTATGCAGGGCTCATGTGTAGGCTAAAGAAAAGTATGCGGCTAGAAGTTGTGGAGTACACACTGTTGTTCTACTTTTCCTAGGAGGGAAAAAGCTTCCACTCGCTGCGATTCGGGATTCAAATTCAGCTCAGTTCTTCTAAAATGACTGAAAGTTTGCCAAACTCAAGGTGAGTTTCAAAGGCACAAATGATTCTTAGGTCACAGCAAATTTCTCATTTAGTTCCATTAGGTTCTTTACGAAGATACATATTAGGCAGCGAAGCAGGTTTTCATTCCACGTGTTTAAAACTGCCGCAGGTTGCCCAGGTGCTCTGTCTCAGTGCCCTTGGGGTTCATTGAGCAGCTCCCAGCTGCAGCACCTCTTGGCTGCTTCCAGGACTCTGTTGGGGCTGCACCACTATTTGGGCTTGGGAACCAGTCCAGTTAAAAGAGCCTTAATACCGCTCTAGGAGGGAAACAAGCCTTAGGAGGGACAGGGATGTGTAATTTGGCATTCCATTCCAAGGAAAAGACAATCAATGCCCTTGCTTATGGGACTTGTAGTAGCAATGAAGCTATTGATAGCACAAAGCAATGCTGGTTGCAAAAGGGCAAAACCTAAGCCTAGTCCAGGGAAGCCACTGTGGTCACCATTGGATTTCTTATTTCAAATGGGATCATTGCTTTGCACAGCCAGGCAGCCATGCGGAGCCAGGAGAGATTCCTGTTCACAGCGGTGGGACAGGATGAAATGTAGCCCAGGCAGTGCAAGCTGATTTGACTTGCAGGATGATAGCACTGGCACCCTTTGGCTGGCTGAAGTGCCAAGTTACCATTACAATAGGGCTGCTTGAGATAAAGAGTACGCTTTTAAACTAATAGGTGTGCATAGGCAGGGTAGGAGGGAAGGTGAAGTAAGACTTTTGCGGAACACACCCCTCTTCATGCTAAAAGCTAATACACACAGCACTCCTAATACCAGAAACAGGGCAACATGTCCAACACGCGACAAAAGCGTAAGAAGAAATGTTTATAAAATTGCCTTCACTATTTTGAAAGCAATTTCCTTTTCTTTTATTCTTTTAAGTTTTATGGGTGTTGAAGTGGAGGCCATGTGTGGTTGCAGATGGTTATTATAGCTGTTTCTTTTCCATTATCTTCGTTCTTCTTTCCCCTAGCATAGTTGAGGTTATCTTCCAAGTAGTTCAGCCTCTGTAGTCACATATTACCTGAACAGAGGTTTGAATCGTTGCCTTTTTGTATCATAGTGAGTGGGCTGCGACTACATTCTTTGAACTTTGCCTAAGTGACCCAAACCATTTTTGTCAAATATTTAGTAGCATTTTCAAAGGTGATAGGGGTATGAGGATCCCAACTTTACACAGATGTGAGACATTTATACTGTTCAGAGTTAAGCTTCTACAAGCACGTGCCACCTTGACTCATGGGCCAGTTAGACTACTTAGAAAATTAGCTTACGGCCTTTTCTGTTCCTTTTTCCATTTCTGCAAAGATTAAGAAATCAGACTGGGCTTCTGTAATGAAGAACACAAATTTAGACATCAGAACACTATTAGTTGGGAAGTTGTTAGTAAAAGTCAGTGAGTAGGACTTCACTGCAAGTGTATGAAATGATTATTTTGTATATACTTAAGAAAGTATGGAGAAAGAATATTGCCTACTAGGAATAAAATTTAAGCTGAAAAGAAGTCCAAATGCCTAAGAAAGAGGGAACTGAGTATTGGGTGGGGATGGCAGGATTTAGTTTTTGTTATAAAACTGAAGTTAAGCATTTACCATGTTTTATGGTGTTTACTATTAAGAGTGGAGTATTTTTACTCCCTGCTGATTCCCATTAATCTATATTTAACTGACAAGATTTATGCATATATGCTAGAGTGCCCAATGCGTGCTTTTCGAGCCTGAAAGAAAACCAAAGAGGCCCCATATTCTAAGTCCATGGCTTAGGGGCAGTTTCAAGCCCCAGCCACACATACAAAAGTTGCTTGTCATTATAAAGACTCCTTACCCTACAATGCAGGATTTTGGGTTGTTGTCTTGTATAGATACTTTCAATTGGTCAGATGGTGCAGAAGAAAAGCCCACATTTTAAAGTAAATCATTCCACTTAATTTTTTCTTTCAGTTGGGAAGGTGCAGCAAATGGAGAAAGAAGGCAAGGTTCCCCCAAACCAGTGGTTTTGTTTCAGTGATTTACTGAGTGAGTACTTTGATTGTGTGCTGGGAAAGCACCAAACATTGCTAAGTTCACTTGCCAAAGCAAATGCCCCATATGTTGAGAGCAGTATAAATTAGATACTACAGAAGATCTACTTGAATATCAACTATTAGCAATTCTGCTTAACTTACTGAACTTGTGCTTTGATGTTAGGCACATTTCAGAGACCAAAGGTATTTTGATTTTTACATAATGATTTATATTGTGCTTTGAATAATAGTCTCATAGCAAAGCAGGGATATAAATACACTCCCAGGCCTTTTTTTGCACACAGATGTAATTTTAGTTTGGCCTCCTCACAGTGCCTTGCGTCCACACAGTTCTTTTACTACAACAAATGAGCTAATAATTCAAACTGCAATAAGTGATCCTCCTTGGAGCAAGAGTAGCGCTACTTGGCAGAGAGTTTGTTTGCTTTCAGGTTCATACGGGAGCCTTCCCTCCTGCTCTGCTATTGGCTTTCTTCCCGCTATCCCACTCTGCATTGTTTCACATTGGCCTGGCCTGTGCTGCCTTCCTGCTCTGGGTCATCTTGCCCAAATTTCACCTCTCCCAGTTACATGCTAGTACTCACGTATACGTGCCACAATTTAGCATGAGGCAGCAAGTCCTGTATGTACCTGATGTCGCCTACCCTTTATCATCCACTCTGTGAGCCCTGAGGACTTGCTAGAATAGGTCACTTGCATTCAAAAGAACGTGACAACTGGAGCAAGCTCACCATCAGGCAAGTAGTTTCTAAGCTGATGCAGTAGAGGGGGCAAGGGGACATGCATCCCAGAAAAGGAAAGGGGAAGGTGCCAGACAAAGATGGGAGCATTGGTAAAGTCACAATAGCTACCCTTACATGGGTGAACAGGCTCTTTTTGCAAGCTGTGCTACAGCAATACCCAGAAATACTTCAAGGTACTGCCAAGACTCCATAGAAAATGTTCCTGCCCTGAGATGGTACAGTAGTCTCCAATCATGAGATTTGCCTTGGCAGGCAATATCTAGGATAACACAAAAGCCTCCTCAGCTGGCAAAACAGGTCCCCTAACTGTCCTCTGGTACTGTCCCTGTGTGTAGGACATGCAGGATTCTTTTTGTCAGCTTCAGACTAACAGCAACCATGGCAGATGTTGTTAGGACTCTCTTTCCAGATTACTTGCTTATCCACAAAATGTGCTAAAGCAACATCCAGGCTGTAAACCCGCTCATTTTCCACCAGGATCACATCCAACCACAAGCAGTATATTTGCAGCCTTGAACTTACTTTTCTGAACTGTTTCCTACAGCCCACTTCTCCTCAGATCAGATGTGCACAGGAGTTAAAAAAAAATCAAATGTATTGCATGGCCCAGATGTTTATCATAGTGCAAGAGAATAGAAAAAACATGACTACATGACCTCTGTCGGTGCACAGATTTATATAAGCTCACACACTGTTCTGAAGTTTTGGAGTCAAGTTGCCCCAAGAGGCTTCAGAGAGAGAATTCACACTGCTATAGTTATCTTAAAGAATCAGTTGCAATGATGTGAAATTGTTGGGGCCAGAAAAATTCATGCAGAGTCCTACTCACTTAGCAGGAGATCTTCTCCAAGAACAGAATTTAAAGCAGAGAGCACTGAAGTTGTTATTCTCATTACAAAATAAACACTCTGCAGGACCAGCCTTAAAGATGTTCCTGCCCTTCCACATCCCCATTGCAGCAGGAGACCATCCTCATCACTAGCAGCACTACCCACAGCTGTGTACCCCTTCATGCTGCATCTTGAGGTGGCTCCCCTGCATGTAACATGCCCCAAAATGGTTTAACTCTTCTTTAGTCTCCCATCATCAGCCTAAACACAGCCTTCCATTTGCAGTCAATGTTTTTACCTGGGGAAAGCAATTTAGAAAACAACTTACCTTAAAGCAAACCATGGT